TTGTGAAAAATTTAGTAGATTTTTTCTGCTTCTGCCTCAGTGACTGAGCACATACATTGCGGCTTTTTCTACAGCATTTAATCACGTCCATGCTGAGGTGAATTGCAAACTTTACATTTATAAGAGCCCAGTGATAGGGTACTGCAAAAAGTAAATTTAAATGACAAGGCTTCCTTGTAAAGTTAGCCAAACTTTGCTACTTCCTCAATGAAAAAGAATGGTTTAAACGAAGAATGGGAAAAAAAGAGAGATTTGTGATTTCTTTTTCTATTTACAATTTACGCCAGTTATAGTTTTTTTCAATCAAAATGATAGCTTTGATGAAAAACTGGAATGATATTGTAAAAACAATAAGGGTAAAAATTTTTAAAGGGCATACGATTGCGTTGCACGGATTATTATTGAGCGTCGAAATTTGCTTGAAAAGTTATCTGCTAAGTACTAATGAAATGTTGGTATTTATTTAATATATGGAAGATAGTAGTTTTCTCAGAAAATTTACGAAACTTTTTCAAAAATATTGTATTTTTGTTATTAAAAATTAAGGTTTCTCAATTCTGTACATATCAAATATGATCTTGAACCAGTCAGACTCTGAGTTAACTACTGAATCTAGTTCAACCATTTCTTTCTACCTTTTTTCTCTACTTAACTTGCTTCTTTTTTTTGTTCTATGAGAAGTTAGAATAAGCTTTTCACGAATGATTAATTATAAAAAAGGAGTAGAGGGTGAAGATCGATGCTCATTGCTCTTTTTACTAACATTACATGACGGTAAATAATTTCACTGATCTATGCCCATGAATAGTTAGTATGAAACTAAATTATTTCAGCTAAATAATTCGTAACGAAAAAAGAAGGAAAAAAATAGTCACTTTTTACCAACTATTCATCAACATTGATCAGTGAAAATGAATTATTGTAACAGATAAAGAATGAGTGGTTTTCAAAGTAAAAAAAAAGAATAATCAGCTTTATGATAGGATACTTGACCTCTGATATGTCTCCAATTTGTACAAAAACATGCATATATATATATA